ACACACACACACAGAGGGGGATGGGAGTGGAGGAAGGATTTCAGGTCAGCCAGGGCTACATAATGAGACTTTGACTAGGAAGGAAGGAAGGGAGGGAGAAAGGGAGGGAGGGAGGGAGGGAGGGAGGGAGGGAGGGAGGGAGAGAAAGCTGACTGCAAGCATTCACAACACTCTGCTTTCTGAATGAAAATACACTGTGACTAAAAGCCTCATGCTCTGTCCTCCATGCCTTCCCAGCTATTGTTGACTGACTCTCAGTCTGTAAATCAAACCCTTCCTTCAATTGCTTTGACCAGGTGTTTCAGCACAGTAGTTAAACGGGTAGCTATATAAAAAAAAATCATATAATAACTTGCCAAGTTTTGCCAAAGATATGAAGAACCACAGACCCTTATAATCACAAAATGTGTGACAATGCACATAAGATTTCTAATACAAAATTTTATTAGAGAAAAACATTAGCAACAATCCAAATCTCCATAACAATTAAATTATTCTTTAAATGACTGAATATCTGTATGATGAAACACAAGTAGTAACAAAAAAGTATCTAATTATATGCATAACAAAATAATTTTACAAAATTATTTTACAAAATCTCATAAATTAATATAATTCAAACAAATAATCTTGTATAAGTCTTTAAAACTATGATATTAAAGTCAAGGGGCAAAGGTCAGCTTTACTTAAGACCCGGACTAACAATACAGAATTAAACCTAGTTTTTACAGTGTACTAGTTGTTGACAAGACATTTCACAGTGCTTTAAAAGGTAGGTAGACAAAAAATGTTAAGCCAAAAGAGGCTTTAGTCAGTTATAATGTGAGTGAAGCCTTGATTTTAGATCATTGTGAAGTAGAATAAATTAAATCTAGACATGACAGAGGAAATACTGATAAATTGCGTTGATTTTAGGTCTGGAGGAAGGTGGTATAGAAAAGGGAGGAGGTTTGAACAACTTTGAGGTTACATGACTGGGGAAGGGGACAATGGTGTGCCATTGACTAATCAATTCAATTACTGTTTGAATGCTGCAAGGCAATATATTGACAACAGACTCATGATGTGGTTGCAGGTCTCCAGAGGGAAACTAAGAAGCACAAAATATATTTTATATCTTCACTCTTGAAAGCTCCTGCTTTCTCAGCCGTACACGTCTAGGAAGTTATTCATTAACAGGTTCAAAAGTCACAAGGTGGACTGTTTATGATATTTAAATGTGTGCTATTTAAAAGCATTAAAAATAATACCCTGATCATATCATGTCAGAATTGTAGAGAAGATTTTTTTTTTATTAATGATAAAAGTAGCCAGAGATACTTTGAGGCTACGGGGCAGAGTCTTCCACAATTGCACCCACATTATACAAAGTACAGATAGGATTCATAAAAGAGAATATACTGTTACATAAAAGTGGAAAGCATTTATTTGTAAGACTTCTAATTTTGTTTCTTTTCCCTATTACTTGTACAACCTCAATGAAAATACACCTATGAGGAGGAGGACACAGCCTCTGTCTCTGTCTCTGTCATCTATTGTGTAGAGATGTTCTTTGTAAAGGACCAAACAGTAATGTAGGGTTTGTAGAACATACAGCTTCTGCTACAGCTGTTCAGCTCAATATAATCCTACAAATGGGAAACAATCACGGGTGATACTTAAACAAGTGATCTTGTTAAACTTTATTAACAAAATAATCGGCAGGCCAGATTTGGCCATAGGCTGTAATTTGCTGACCTCTATATTAGATAATACACAATTTGATATTTTTTTTCATATTTTTCTCAAACTAATATTGTACATTTTATCATGGATTCTTTTGTTATACAAAATCAGGGGCACCTATGCTACTACAGTACATAATTGGCTCAGTAGGTTTTTATTTATAAAGACTTTAATAGTGAACTTATATCTGTTTTCTTGATTCTAGAATCATGTTCATCTGATATGCTATTAGAAGTAAAGTAATTCCTTTGGATCTAGACTGTGTATAATTCATTTCTTTTGCCACAAACACTGCTAAAAAATGAAGCATATTCCATTTAGAATCTGAGTGGAAAGTTACAATGTGCACGGTTATTGGGTCTTACATTTGTAGGTGGGAACTTTGAGTTTCTCTACCATCCTGGTCCTGTCCTTTTGTAGATAAGGATTCAGGATATCAACATAGAACAGTCACATTCTAGGAACCTACCATTTAATACACACTCACTCACTATATTTCTCTGTTCTCTCATTAAGATACTGATCTTTCTGTTTCTATACTTTAAAATCAGATGTTGAGAGCCTGGAGAGGTGGCTCAATGGTTAAAAAGCACTTGCTGTTATTCCAGAGAACCTGGGTTCAATTCCTAGCAATCACATAGTGGCTTACCATCTACTGTAACTTCAGTCCCAGAAGACCTGACACTCTCTTCTGGGCTTGAGAGCACATCATTCACATCAAACACACCAAAATAAACAAACAAATACACACCACACATTAAGGCAGAACAGTCATACACATTTAAACAAATCAGATATTTAATTCACGCTACCATGGTGTCACACATCTATAATCTCAGCACTTAAAAGGTAGAAACAGGAGGAACAAGAATTCAAGACCAGCCTTGGCTACACAGTGAGGTTAAGACCAGACTCTGATACAAGAGATACTTAAAAAAGGAAAAAAAAATGAAATTTGTTTTTTCACAACTCTTTTCTGTACATTCCATACAAATCTTCCTCTCTTTATTCTTGTGACTTTATCCTGTCTTGCTTAGTTAAGTTATCTGAATTCTCTTGTTTCCTTTTTTTTTTTTTTTTTTTTTGGTTTTTCGAGACAGGGTTTCTCTGTACAGTCCTGGCTGTCCTGGAACTCACTCTGTAGACCAGGCTGTCCTGGAACTCAGAAATTCACCTGCCTCTGCCTCCCTGTTGTTTTCTTATATATTGTTTGTTCTTATGCCTCTGGCAACACAGATGTCCACATAGCTACAGCCTTGGTACCTGACACATGAAAAACATCCTACAAAGAGCAACCCAGGGAATGACAGAAACAAATGCTACAAGCCACTTTTCTATCTCTTTCCTTTTTGCCCCCATTCTTGACATCTAAAACCTGAAAGCACTGGAAAAACTAACTTCAAGCCTCTGCATCTCTATGGAATATTCTATAATTTCATCTAAAAGATCTTTATGTTAATTATGTCTAATATTATAGTATCTATTACATAGACTATCCTTTTATACACTACCTTATACAACTCTTTCTACTATTCTGTGTGTAAGAATCGATTTTCCAACTAGTAAAGAATGTATTTTTCAATTAATCTTTTAAAATCAACCATACCATCAAAAAAGTACAATTCAGAAGAGCTATGCCCAATCACTAATAGAATACTTGTAAAGCATTTAATGCTCTTACCAATAAATGGAACCAATGCATTCTACTTATCAACTTATAAACTATATTTAAGTCAGAATCTGGCAAGGTCCTAAACAGAAATGTGTTCTGTCCTTTCATTAGAGCAAATATTAAAATGACTTTACAAAGTGAATTAACACATATTTTTTTCTAAAAGGCCATTTTCTCCCATGTAAATGCTTATCTTTCTAAATATACCAATTATGCAATTTTAACAAGTATAATTTATATA